CCAAGACTCTGTAAACTGTCCCGACATTGATTCCGGTTAGTTTCTACAAGGGTCCGACAAGACTCTGTAACTGTCCGACATTGATTCCGGTTAGTTTCTACAAGGGTCCAGCAAGACTCCGTAAATCTGTCACCAAACTGTCACACAGACATTGTCTGGCTACAACGGTCCGACATGACCCCATAAACTGTCTTCTACAACTTTATGACACCACCATACAGTGTCCTCTACAATGTTATGACACCCCCATCCAGTGTCCTCTACACCGTTATGGTACCACCATACAGTGTCCTCTACAATGTTATGACACCACCATACAGTGCCTTCACCAACGGTCTGACACGACCATACAGTGTCTCCTATCTTTTTTTTTTTTTTCTTCTTGTTTTGTTCCTCTCTCCAAACTCAAGTTGGTTAGTTTCTATCATCCTTGAGTTTGCGGGGGGCTGTTAGAATTTACCTACACCTACCACCACCTACTACCACACCTACTACACCTACCACCAATTTACCCTCACCTACTCCTCACCTACTACCCAAACCCTCTCCTATATAATGAGCTACTCTGCTTTGTAATATAACAAATCAATGTATCAGATCAATCATAAACTCATCAATCAATAATACATAAATTTCTACAGACATTGACACTTGACCAGATGTGTAGGGGGTTGATTGTCACGATTTCATGTGTAGGGACCAAAGTGAGATTTGACCAGAAATATATGGGATTAATTGTCACGATTTCATGTATAGGGATTAAAGTACAATTTAGTGCAAATTGTAAGGATTTAAAGTGTAATTTACTTGTGAAATTTTGTGATTTTCATTATTAATCCCTACAAAATTAGACAAACTTTTAATTGGTGAATTGAAAATAGAATAATTTGAAATTATTTATTCAAAAGAAAAAAGAATAATCGCTCAAATTCTCTTAAATTTAAATTTGAGAAAAGGTCAACCCTTAATAAAGTAAGAATCAGCCTATGAGTACAGAAAACAAACACAGAATGGGAAATAACTTTCTCACCCCTTGTGAGAGGGTTATATCCTATTATATGTTTAGTTTATATGTTCTTAACATTACCGATAAATTAAAGGGCAAAATTTATTTTACTAAATTGTGGTTTGAAGCCTGAGCATTTTACCCCTTATAGTTCAATTATAACCAAAAAATTACTGCGGTTTTAGATTAAAGTACAACTATTAATTCCATTAATTATAAATGTAAAATGACTATAATACCTTCATGCCCTATGCTTTTTTATTATTATTATTTTATTTATATCTTCTCTCATACATATATTTCTAATTTCTAACATTAACTCAATTAAATTATAATTAATCATAAATTCTTAACTTTTTAATTTAATTATAGTTTGAATCACAATTAATTTTAAATCCTTAATTATTTATTATAATACCTAACTTTTTAATCTAATTTTAATTTAAATATATTTTAAATTATAATTAATCATAAATTCTTAATTATTTATTGTAATTCCTAACATCTTAATCTAATTTTAATTTAATTATATTTTAGATCAATCCTTAATAATTATTTATTTTATATTTTAAATCACTCTTTAATTATATTTTATATTTTGGATTAATCCATAATTATAATTTTATTTTATTTTAATTACATCTTAATTTTATTTTATTTTTGGAGAAGATCGAGATGAAATTGTCTTTTTATTGTGTTAATTTCAATTTATTTTTTTTCAGAAAATCAAGTCATTTTAAAAAATAGTGTGTGATATATCTTCGGTTACTTTGGATGAAAAAACTAACAGTTGTATTTTAATCAACAAGGAAAATGTCTCGTAGCTCAAATTTTGTGGTTCAAAAGCGGCTCAAATGGCCAAAACGACGTCGTTTTGAGTACAGAACAACATACCATTTGAGCCACTTTTGAGCCACAAAATTTGAGCTACGTAGCATTGTCGAATCAACAATACTAGGTAACTCAAAATTTTGTAGCTCAAATGGCTCAAATCACTCAAAACGACGTCGTTTTGAGTGTAAATGATTGTAAAACGACGTCGTTTTAACAAATTTGAGCCATTTGAGCCACAAAAATTTAAGCTACCAAACATTTTCCGTATTTTAATCCAAAACCACATAGAACCTTTCTCACTATATAAAATGAATTTTGTCTTTAATCCAATTAGTTGATCAAACATAGTTTAGAACCTGTGCATTTAAGTTTGAGAATAAGAATTGAAAATTACAGTAAACAGAAGTACCTTTATTTAAAGAAATTGTAGAATGCATTCACCAAATCATGAATTGAGATAAGCTTGCAAGAGATCTGTTTGTCCATAACAACAAAAATTAATAAGATGATACATTTTTATGAGATAAGCTTGCAATCTATCTCGAGCCAAAAATATATGTGGAAGCATTTCGTAAAATCTATTTTCACATACTACCTAGATATCACCTAAAAATACATATATGGTTCGATATCACTGGAATTGAGCAAACCCAAAATGCTCACGAATCTATTACACAAACCTAGAAAAATGAGCATGAAATAATGCAGAAGGGCAATGCTAGAGACCACTAAAAGTGGTGCTCTAAAGCAACCACTAATGATGTGACACCCACTTTTTCAAAAAAAAAATAAAATATAGACACAATAATATTGTGACAGTGGGTGGGACCCACTACCACATCATTAGTGGTTGCAATAATTAGTGCTCTCACTCATTTTCCAATGCAGAAATAGAATCTCACTACATGAATATTGTTGTAGTAGAAGCCAAGAAAATTAAGAGTTATTATGTTAACAATCACAATTCGGGAGTTTTTGTTATTTCTTGAGTGTATGAGTATTTTTTATTATTAATATAGATTTTATTTTGCTAATCAAAAAATTGAGTTATCTGATCTTTGATGTCAAAGAAGACAAGCCATAATTCTATAGCTTTTGCTCAGCGTTATATGGATTTTGGACCCCCTATTGTACGCATGTCCGTATATAAGATGCAAGGAAGAAGTCAAAAAAATTATTAGATAAGACTGACAAGTGTAGCAAAACGAGATTAAAAAAAAGTGTATCAAACAAAATAAATTTAATTTTTATAAAGGAGAAATTTACTTACATTAGTTATTAAACAATCACAAGAAAAATGAATAAATGTAGGAAAAATTGGTCAACAATCCTGCGCATTGATTGTTTTGTGGCAGAGATCCAAATTTTGATTTTTCTTAGTTAGATGGTGACATGCACAACACTTTCTGGTTGGCAAGTCTAAACATTTTATGGCAACATATTTACCTTTTTATCTGTAGTGTTCAAAAATTTTTAAAATGTTATAACTTTAACTACATATATCAATTTTTAATAAAATCAATATTTTTGTGTTCGCCTTTTCAAGATCTTTAAAGAAAAATCAATATTAAAAATGAAGAGAAAAAAAAAATCAACAAATAGACCTATAGAAAAATAACGAATAGATCTATTTCGAAACATGCCAAGGCCAAGGAAATTCATGGCAATGCAACTGTGTATTTAGTATCATAAAAACTATAGATCAATACCGTAGAATAGAAATTTTCCTCACCATGGACCAAATGACATGATTTTTTTAAAGAAATTCCTTGGCGCCCAGCATTCTAGCTCTTAGTCCAGTTGAATCCTTTCATTAATTCTGACTAGTAAGAGATCTTCATTCATTAACTTTGGTCGGTGAAAAATCTCAACTATGAGATCCAATTGAAATTTCAACATGAGACAAATCATTCTTTTTAAAGATATAAGTCTGCAAAATAAAAAATTGATACGACTGAGATTCCAAGATTTTAGCACCATGAGCAATGTTAGCCATACAAAAAAAGTTTACCAAAGATTTAACCACATGAGGGGGTGAGATCCACCCTCACGTGAGACCCATCTAATGTGAATATTTTGTAAAAAAATTAGTAAAATATTTAATGTTTCTAACATTTTTAATTTGGATATAGAGTAACAGGTGTATGAGCATTGATCGAGTTGGTGGATTAATCGGGACTAGCAACGGCTCATGAAAAGATTTGGGATAAGTTTGAGGCGTGAGAATGAGAAAAAGACGTATAAGTATGGATCTCACCTCTCAAAATTTAAAGGAGATGAATTGTCTCTAGATCATAATCTGGATTGCATGGAATTGTTCGAGACCGTGAAGTGCATCAAGTGTATCGGTTCAATTATTTGAATCGTTCATTTTGCCGAGCATTTCGTATATATCATTGAAAAAAATAATAATTAGGTTGATCCGATAATCGTAACTTATTCAATTTATCATAATTGTCAACCAAAAAAAAAATGAACAATTGTGTTTTTAAAATAGATCATTTGTTTTACTTATTTATTTATTACAAAAGCGAAAAATGGATTACCGAATCGATCTAATTTTTTTGAGTGGGTGACGTACATGAAGTACCTAACAAAATAAATGGTTCGAAGTTGAAATGGAACCCATGGTGGGATTCATAGTCTCGAACAATGATTTCCAATCCAAATTACGGACCGGAAAAGAAACTAGCTCCCAATTTAATAGCTGAGGGACTTGAATTTTGAAAATCTTTTTTTATGGCCTTGATCTAATATGAATTTATTCTAACAAATTTATTTGGCTCCAATTTTCTAAATTCAATTTTTTTAAAATTGAGTTTTTGATTTTCTTATTTGTTATTTTTAATGATTTTTTTTTAATATTTTAAGTAATTAGATACACCTAAAAAATAAAATAAAAAAATTGTAAGAAAATATTAAAAAAATCAATAAATACATAACAATATGAAAATATACTGAATTTTCATATTTATCTTTTTTGGGGTATTGAATGAATTTTTTATAAATTTTTTTCGTAAATATTATACTTTTTAATTGTACTTATATTAATTGTATCTAAAAAATAAAAAAATTTCTTAAAATATTAAAACAATTTATTAAAAACAAAAAATATATATAAAAAGCAAAAATTCAATTTCTAAAAAATTGAATTTAAAAAATTAAAATCAAAGAAGATAAAATTATTCAAAAAAGGTGAGTGCAGTTTAACCTTAAAACTTATTCAATTTGAATTACATTCCTAATATAATAACATTTTATGTTGGACTATTACAATATAAGATATAAATAAATGTTCAAAATAGGCTTCTGTACATATCCCTTGGCATCTTTCTAGTCATCTAAAGGATTATAGGATTAGACCTTCGAATTTTTGGTTTGTGGGTCGACGTCAAGTTCCGTTTGGTTAATTTAAATTATTTATTTTTAGGTACTAGTATTTAGATTATTCTTAAATAAATCATATTGATTCGATAAATATAATTACATAATTTTAATGTATCCATTTGTAAAAAATAAATAATGTATTTTTAAAATTATATTGGTTATTTATTTGTTTTTAAAAAAATACAGGAATTACGTAACTAAGTTTTATCAATAAATTTATTCTCCTTTTTAAAAATTATGTACACAGATACTTAAGAGTGAACTATTTCAATCCTAAACATAAAGCTTATGGTGGCCTTCCACAACTTGATAATCTAGTCTTCAAATCTATATATATTATATAAGAAGGTTTTTGAAAATGTCTAAAATATATTAAAAATATATTTTGTTCAATGGTTCAGATTATTCCATCTAAAAATTAATGGTTGAGATATCTTCATTTCCAGCCAAATGCTCTCACTCTCTCTTTCCTCTTAAATCATCACACCGATTGCTCTTAGGGGTGAGCAGCGGATATACCGATCCGCCAAAATCGACCGAACCGAACCGATTCGCCGCATTTTGGACGAATGCGTGATGACGAGCGGACGGTTGCGGATTGATTTTCTCCAATCCGTCAATTTGGCGGACGGATGGCGGATTTAAGGTTCCTTTGGCCGCAACCGAACCGCCAAACCGCGAGTACCCTTAGTAATTTATAAGATTTTGTATTTTCAATTTGTTTAAATGTTTTGTTTGTATTTTCAATTGAAAAAGAGTTCAAATATTCTGCTGAAAAGAAGTTTTCAACTTGAATATATTTTTTGAATTGAAAAAAAATAAAGGTATTATTTATCTATATTTTTTTGTTTTATTTTTTTGTTTTTAAATCAAATTCTAAAAGTAATAAATAAAAAATATGATATATACTGGTTGGTTTTTGTTTTCAAAAACATATATAAATGTAACAATACAGAGACATACACAATCTCTATTATTGCTCTGTTCATAGTTTTGATGGTTTGAATTGTTTTTATATTTTAAGAACCACAGATTGTAATAATTTATGTGGATGAGGCATACTGTGATTGTAATATGTGGATGAGACATGCAGTGATTGTGATATTCTAAAATTTCAAACTTTTTTTCTTTGGATGATGCATGCAGTAATTGTAATACTTTTTTAAGTCATTGACTGTAATACTATTTTTTTTTTTTTTCAAGAAATGCACAAGTTGAATTATGTTGAAAATTTATAAAATTTCAAACCGCCAAACCGATTCGCATCCATCCCCCAAACCGCCAATCCGCTCAATCCACATCCGCCGGATTAGCGGACGGATGCGGATTGATTTTCTTCAATCCGCCAATCTGGCGGACGGATGGCGGATTGGAGATTTCATGGCCGCAACCGACCCGCGCCCACCCCTAATTGCTCTCTATCTCATTTTCTCTCTCTCAGATTTCCATTCTCCGAAGCCCACAAATTTTTTTTTTTTTTTAATTACAACCCATCCTCCACAATTAATTAATTAAACCCATCATCCTTCCCAATTTTTTTTTTCTTTTTTTTTTTGGTTTATTTTTTTAATCACACTCATTTCATTCTCTCTCTCACGGTCGTTTGTTTTTTTTATCCATCCAAGTTAAGACCCAAGCACCAAGAGATGCCCTACCACTTTCAAACCCACAAAACACTTTTTTAATATTTCAACCTTTTAATTTATTTATTTATTTATTTATTTTTAACCCACCTGGGCACGTCTCTCATGAATCATTATTTTATTGAGTTAATTACCTAAAAATTTTATTTATAACTATTATAATAACTCAAGTCATATCTAAGATTTTTTGAACTAATAAGTCCTATTTAGTAAAATTAAGAATATTATCGATTTTTCTCAATTTTTAAAATTAAGAACATTATCACTTTTTCATAGTAATATTTTAGATAATTGTTTCATTAACTGATGAAAAAAAAAAACAAAGTATGAGATTAAATGTTCTTCCCCTTCTACTTATTGATTTGATTCAACTATCCAATAAAATCGAAAATATTGTCAATTGTTTTCATTTTTAAAACTAAGAACATTATTAGTTTTATCATTTTTAAATTTCTTTTCTAGTTTTGCACATCAATGTTTAATTATCATGCTCATTTATATTTACAAAATTTTTAATTTTGCACAAAAAAAAAAATTCAATTTTTTCATTAAAAAAAAAAAAATTCACTCTATTTGGTTTCCATTTCTAGAATTCACTTTTCAAAAATTTTACTTTTTTGTTTTCCATATTTTTTGTTTTCACTAAATTTTTTTAATATTTTAAGTAATTTGTTTAATTTTTAGACACACTTAGCATAAATACACTTAAAAAGTATAATATTTGTAAAAAAAAAACTTTAAAAAGGTGCATCTGAAAAAGTTATAATATTTTACTATTTAGATACATGTAAATAAGGTGCATCTGAAAAAGTTATAAAAAAAAATTTGCTTAAAATTTTAAAAATATTCACTAAAAATTAAAAAAAATACAAAAAAAAACCCAATTTTTAAAAAATTGAATTCAGAAAATTAAAACAAAACACACTGATTAGTTTTTTTTTTTTTGCATATAATTTTTTTTTTAGTTTTTTCAATTTGAAAGTTGATGTTTTAATGTTTTAAAAATCAAAATAAATGTCAAATTATCGTGTTCCTTTATATATAATCATAAATGATGAATAATTATTATTTGAAGGACAATTCTAACTATTAAAAATTTATGAGATCTGAAAATTTAAAAAAATTTAGTTACAACTTAATAGAGTATAAATTCATAAATTAAGATTTATATATAAATGCCCCTATTTTATTTCTATAAGCCGGGCAATTCCTACTCAAAAAAATATATATATATATGTATAATGTGTCTCAATCACCTTATACCACTACCTTTTTTTTTTTTTTTTGACAAATTGTCCACCATATTTACACTAACTTTGTCGAATCTGGAGTGCCTGCTGTACTGAGTGCACAGCAAGTACTCCTGTGCAGCCTTCTAGGCTCATTTAGGGATCCGGTTTGATGATCTAAACCGTTTACATTTTAAAATACATCAAGTAAAATATATCTATAAAAAATCAAGTTAATCGGATATCGTTAACCATTTCATTTACTCACATTTGTATCTACAAAAATAAATGAGATTGTGATTTAAAATATTAAAATGAATATAAATGTGAGTAGATGAAAAGGTTAACGCTATCTGATTAATTTGATTTTTTATAGATATATTTTACTTGATATATTCTAAAATATGAACGATTTATATTATCAAACTAAACCCTGAAATGAGTTCATAAAAGCACTCAGCAATACCTGCTGTGCTGGGTGCACAACAGACACTCCGGATCCACTTTTGTCCCACTGACTTTTGGAAAGTTAAAACTTCAACTCTCTGAGCAGAGAGCTCAATGTACAAAACCCAAAACAATAATGCAAGTATGGCTTCGAGCAATGTGTGGCGGCAGATCCCACACGAGTAGGAGGGTAAAAATGGCATGTGGCCTGCCTGAAGTCCGAGGTGGGTCTGGCCTGTTTGGGCTCAAGCCCAAGCCCAAGCCCAAGCCTAGCGTGAGACCCTGGGCCATTATTTTGAAGCTCGACCGGGCCCGCTTAAGGCCTGGTCAAAGCATGGCCCGCCCAAGACCTAGTGTGTCTTTTTAGTAAAAAATAATAAAATTTGATAAAAAAAATTAAAATAAAAAACCAAAAAAATTGTTCAAGCCTGCCCAAGCCCGCCCCAAGCTCGAGCCTAGGCCCATCAGCCCACCCAAAGCCCTAATACCCTTGGGCCTAGGCTTGGGCCTAAGCCTAATTTTTTGGCCTGTGGGCCGGCCTGGCCTGGCTCGAATTTTGGTGGGAGCCCGCGAGGCCTGACATGGGCCGGGCCAGGCCGAGCCAAAATTACACCCCTACACATGAGTTTGTCACCTTCCAAAATATTTTATTTTGTATTATTCAATTCACCCTGGTACAATAAAATTTATAATATCTTAAAATTTTGTAATATAAATCATAATTATATCTCACCATAAATCATAATAATTTTATGTTAAAAAATTTTTGTGGCAAAAAAAATTTTTAATTGTAAAATTTGAACACAAAGTTTAAATAAATAAATAAAATGAAAAAAATGTTTATGTTTATTAAGAAATGTAATTATTAGAAATATTTATGTTTATTAAAAAAACGTAACTATCATTTTCAAAAAAAGAAAAAAAAAGTGATTATGTGGAAAATGTTGTTTTTTTTGAAAATATTTTTTTTGGGATAGATAAATTTGAACTCAAAATTTAAATTGAGTTTTGTTAAAATGTATTCTTTTCACACGACATGTAAGAGAGGAGAGATAACGAAGGTGGTGTGATTTGTTTAAAGATTAAAAAAAGTTTTTTTTTAATTTTATTTTTACAAAATTTTTTATCTACCTCGGTGACAAAGCCCACGAGACATATTCTTACAATAAATTACTTCTTTTTTTTTTTTTCCAGTTTTTACTTTAATTTTATTGGGTGCACTTTTATCCGAGTAATTTACAAAATTGATTTGAAAGTTGAAACCGAATTTATATTTATATTTTGATCTCAAATTTTTAGTAACAAATTTAATAAATTACATTTTAATTTAATAATTTTATTTTCAATTATATTTTAATCTCATTATTAATTACATTATTCACGGCCATACTAGTACCAGTATATCATAATATTTAAGTAGGTCCAGGACCACTAAAGCTACTGTCCAAAAAAATAATAAGAAATTTGTCCATATTTCAAAGCTGTAATGAAGATTCAAGAGGTGTTTCTTAGGTCCATAAAAAAAATAAATTTAAATAATGTTGAATAAATTGAGATATTTATTTATAAATTCTTTTTAATCTACTTATATTTTTAGTCTAAATTATTTTTTGTTATTCTAATAAATCTTATAAATGACATACTTACTAAAATACCCCTAATAATAATAGAGTAAAGCACATTAATGTTAACAGTATGAATGTACAGTGATGTAAACATTCACACTGTTAAATATGAATATTCACATCACTAAGTTGTTATGAGTTCAAAAAATATTTGTAAATGTATAATTGTTCAAAAAATACCTTAAATATGAGAATTAGAATTTAGTGAATCAAATGTCCAAATAATAATACAACAATATGTTATGTATTAATTGGAATACAAATACTTCAAATAAGATTTCCTAATAAATTTTCCAATACAATTTTGAGTATATATTTGGTATTATTCGGTCCAGGACACAACTACAGCCATATTCATACCGTCAATGTAACATATACTAACACAACTTTCGTTGAATGAATGCAAATTTCAAACAAGGAAATAACACTGTATTTGGATATAGATTTCAATAGAAATTTGAAAATAAAAGAGAAATGGAAAAAATAATAATAATAACTTATATTTTATACAATTGTCTCACCTTTTTTTCTTTTTTTTTTTTCAAATTCATATCTCAATCTATGATTCAAAGAGCTTGATTTGAAAAAGAAAAAGGAACATAAGTAGATTTTTACCTCTCAAACGATGTCAAGATTAACCGGATCTAGATATGAACAATAAAATTCCAACACCATCGATCTTACTCAATGAAGGGTGTACAGAAAAGAAACTTCTGTAGAAACACAAAAAATCATGAAGGAGGCAACACTTTACTTTAATCCTGTATTGATGCCAAGAAGATCTAGAAAACATTCACAGAAACTTAAAGAGCACATAATCTAAATAAATAAGTCCACAAAATAAAAAGAGATGCCTCTAAGATCCCAAGATTTTAGCACCATGTGAGATTTTAAATATCTTTCCTTGTCACCAACAAGATTCACAAGAATTTCGAAAATCAATTTTCTTCAGCTTTGCATAACTTAATGTCTTACCAAACCTTAGCGATTAAAAAAATGAAAAATTTTAGCTTTTGCAAAGTGTATTTATCAAATTGAATCAGAACATGAACAACCCAAGAAGAAAGAGAAATGAAACAATAACTATCAATCAAAGTTTTGATGTAAAAGTTTGTAGTGGTTTGTTTAAACGAAGGACGAGATGAAACGACAATAGTTCAAGCAAAGAATAGCTCACCTTAGCTTTTTGCTCACCTATCTGCAGATCTTGCAAATTGTAATAATGGAATAGAAGAGGAAATACATATGATACACCCAACATTTATCCAGAGTCAAACACCTCTTAAATTAAACTTCAATTAGAATATCTAAACCCAACTCCAAACTTGATTGTGAGTGTGACCAAACACCATCTTTCAAATCAAAAAAAGAAAAAAAAAAAAAGGCTATAGACTTTTATTTTATTTTGTCTGCATTCTTCTCTCTCTAACTTCTCTCTACCTTTGCTCCACCCTTACACCACCACATCAACCCACCATCTCCACCACCACCAGCTATCTTATCTCGCCGAAAAAAGTTCCGATCGACCACTCCTCTCTCTTCGAAAATAGCACAAAACAAGTATCAACTCTAGATTTTTCCTAACCTCTTGAAGGATCGAAGCTATTAGAGGCTTTAAATTGGAAAGAATATCTCTCTAAAATGTTTAATTTAATGTTTTACATTTTGAGTTTGAAATGGTAATTTCTAGATTTATGATGATTTAGTTTTAGTTATTGAGTTTCTTACTTGTATTTAGACCTTGTTTGGGAATAAACTATTTTAGTAATTTTTTTTATTATTTGACTAAAATATGAGATTAAAAAATTAGTATTTTTAGGAATAATTTTTTACCTATTTACGAAAAAAACGTTAAATAAAACAATTTAGAGCAAATTACACTGACATCTCTCGAGGTTTTGTTTAATACAAATCCCACTTACATTTGAAAAATTACACTTACCTCCTGTCAGATTAAAATGACATATTTACGCCTTAACCTTTATAACATATAAAAAAATATATTTTGTTCATGTCATTTTAAGGGAATCAACAATCATCTTCTTTGGTTTAATTAACGCAAAAATATGAGTTTCTTCACTTTTCGTATTTTTTTTTTATTTTTACTGAATTTTTTTAATATTTTAAACATTTTTTATTTTTTATTTTTTTACTTTTTTGGATATACCTAATCTAGATGTACTTGATAAGTATAATACTTTGTAATTTTTTTTTAAATTCATCAAATACAAAAAAAATAAATAAAAAAATAAAAAAATCAATACATTATCTTGTATTCAATAGATTTTTGTAAAAGTTTTTTATAAAAATTTTATACTTTTTAAATATA